GGCGAAGCCGCTGATGTGGCGGCGCTTCGCCGAGGAGTTCGTGGGCAAGAACCAGTACACCGCTGCACAAGCCTTCCAGATCAAGAACGTCTACTACAAGAACCTCGTCGCGTACGAAATCACGCACCACTGGAAGCAGGAGCCGCCGCCGAAGGAGATCCTGGAGGACGTCACGGCCAAGGGCGGGAACGTCATGACGCGCACGTTTGACAACTTCGAGAAACCGCCGAAGAAGGAGGAGGTGAACTTGGGAGCGAGCGGGAGCGGCGGTGGGAGCGGCGGCGGGGAGGGCAGCGATGCGAGTCCTGAGCAGAAGACTCCCAAGCTGGAGAAGACGGAGGAGGGCGACGAGCTCGATCCAGGCAGCGCGTCGGGCCGGATGACGCGTGGGCTGCGACACGCACCGCCTCAGCGCGTCTTGTTCCAGCCAGATCTGGCTGCTCAAGGCCGGCAGACTCGGGGTGCAGTCAACGCCGCCAACTCACCTACACCGGGAGCCGGCGGACTGCCAAGCATGGTCAACGGCTCCGGCACTGCCTCGTCCACTCTAGCCTCGTACGAACCCTCCCAGTCCTACCCTTTGTCCCTCAAGCCTGTCATCACCCCAGCCAATAACCCCGACCACTACCGCCAGCAACTGAAGCGCAAGGCCGACAGCGCCATGGGTCCCCTGGCGAAGAAATACAAGAATATCATGCTTCCAGGCACCGGCTTCACCGGACCGAACATCTACGTGCGGGCACAGCTGGCCTTGCAGAGCGGCATCGACAACGAGGAGATGTACGCTTTGCATCATCTTGTCAAGATCAGTCATGAGCGAGGCGACAAGTACCGCTTTGATCAATTCGCTGGCCTCGCCGAAGCATTGATCAGGAAGTGTATGAGTGTGTGCGGACTATTCTACGACGTCGAGTGGGACACTTCATACAACTACGACACCATGGACGCCGATGACGAGACACTCGATGGCCTGCGCGGGACTAGCGACATTGTGCGCAGGCTGCAGAACATGATCCCGAAAGTCACCGACGACGGCATGCAAGACCCGGCCTTCTCCTCCCAACTCAACCGCATCATGGAAGCCGGCCTCGTGCTCCGCAACATGTGCCTGCAGGCCGAGAATGCGAAGTATCTGGTCAACATCCCCACTACGCGGGACTACCTCTCTGCGGCCTTGACTCTGCCGTCGCATCCGGGTATCGTTGAGCTGCAGCACTATGCGCTCGAGACAGCCGAGCAATTGCTCGTGTGGTGTGACCTCGGACCTCGTGACGGTCTGTACCGAGCTCTGATTGCACAGCTGGAGGGCCAGGACAGGACCGCCATCATCATTGCGCTTCGGACGATTGCCAGGATCGGAATGCATCTGCCACATCCGAAAAGACTGGACGATGTGCCGGCCGAGATCCTGCAAAGGGTGCAGGACTGGCTGATGACGGAAGATGAGGAGATGAAGGGCGCCTGTCTCGACTTCCTCTTCCAATACACCAGCTCCGCGGACAACGTCGCCAACGTCCTTCATGCCCTCGATGCTGGGGCCCTGGCAAACCAGCTCAGCCGCCTCCTGCTCTTCGCAGCGAAGGAAGAACGCAAGGCTACTTCCACCGCCCCTGCGGACGACAGAGCATCCGACAAAGGGCCCTATGTCGTCCCTCGGCTTTCGAGAAATATGGTGGAGCTCCTGCTCACGCTCGAGGAACCTGAGCGCTCGAGCGAATGGCTCCGGATGTGCTTCGCCTCGGACCCGACTTCGGAGATCACGCAGATCGCGCTCTGGCAGTCCTACCAAGCGACCTTCACGCCCTTCAACACCCCCACGCGGAACCATCTCGTCGCAGGAGAGTTCATCAAGAATGTCTCGACGACGTTTGCGGGCGCTACGGCGCAGGTTGCTGGCGGAGGGAAGTACGTCATCCGCGGGATCCGGGCGCGGAGGGCGCCGGTAGAGGCCGGGTTACTGCCTGGATCAGGCGTGAGGGGGGAGGAGCTGGGGAAGTGCAGGTGGATGATGACGCATGAGCAGGAGTGCAAGGAGTGGTTCCGCCAGGGCGACGAAGCGATGATGGAGCACGTCTTGCGGGATCACCTGGTCCTGCCGCGGCGGGCTGCGCCGATGAGGCCGGACGATGAGGCGGATGGCATGGAGATCGATTCGGGCACGCCGGGCAGCAGACCCGCGAGCGCGATGGCGAGTGTGAACGGGACGAGCCGTATACCTGGACAGACGGCATCGCTTGGTGCGCGGTATGACTTCGCGGCCGCGGACCAGAACAGCTACCGGTGCTGCTGGGCCGGAGGCTGCCACCGCTCGTCCGCGGACTTCGAGGGCGTGCCGAGCATGTCGCGCACGGCGCTTCTGGCCCGGCATATCCGGGTGCACCTGCCCGACGCGGATCCCGCGCGAGCGAGGCACAATGTGAGGGATGGCGCGGGCACGGCGCCGCGGACGGGCGACCGGACGGTGTACCAGGGCTTGGTGGATGAGAAGGGCGATGCGACGGGGGTGCCCCTCAGCGCGGCGCTGGTCCTGAGGAATCTGGCCAAGTTCATGCCGGCTTCGGGTGTTCAGACTGTGCCTATGGCGCTGTCGGACGGTACGGCGGGTCCAGTAGGCGGTATGGTGGACGATGCTGTCCACGGCGCGGCGCTTAACAGCAAGCAGAAAGATGGAGCGGGCCAGGATGAAGACGGCGATCTCATGGCCAAGGTCTTCGACGACGAGGTGGTCGAGAGGCTGATGTGGGCGTTGACGTGCTGCAAGCCTATACATGCTTACGTGGGCAGTGTGCTGAGGGCGATCGGAAGGGGTGGTGGAAGCTGATGGAGTGCGAGACGAAGGCGCCTGAGCAGCTTTACACACGAGAAGCCATTTGCTGTTAGCGCGGCGTCGACGACGAGGGTGCATCGACCCTAGCCTCGCGTCTTCAGCGACCGAGCGACTGCAAGTCTCCCGTGCCTGCAATAGCGATTGCACGAAGCCAGTCTCATCCTTCACTTTGCCCGTCTCCCATGACTGCTCCCTGCACTCATCCCCATGCTGCTCTGATGCGCCCGGTTGTCACTTGGCCTTGAACCCTTCTCCAAAAGGACACCGGCTGCTGTAATGGCCGCGAACGCGGTCAGTCAAGACCGTATGTATGGGAGTCAGTCTGGACCTTACCGATCTTCTGGGTAGCCACTCCGGCCTGGTTCCTTGCCCCTCAATCTCGTCCCCATACCTGTCGCACTGCGTCTGACGTGGATTGCTTGCTTGCTCTCTTATCACAAGGCTCTGGGTAATGTCCCAACCATTCGGCAGCGCAAGCGCTACACCCTGCTACCTTGTCCCTCTACCGTCCCAGCGCTGACTGGACTTCTGCTTCCACCACCGCTGACTCGATGTTGCTGCTTCCGGATCATAGTGCCAATGACGGCAAGGAAGACGAAAAGGCGTAGCAGGACGACGGTAATGGCGATGTTGGGATGCATGACAGCCAACTGATATTGTAGATTGGTTGGCGGGTATCGTGGCGGTCCGCTCCAAGAAGGCACCTCGTATGTGTGTCCGCGTCTGGGTGACGGGGGTCAAGGCTTTCGCTCGATCGCCGTCTGGCATGACGGCGAAGGCAGCGGCTTCTGCGTGTGCATGGCCGTACCTGCACTGGCTCGGGCTGCGCCTGTTGCATCGTGTGCGGCCCGGAGGGCATCCTTACGTGCCTTCCGTTCGAGACTGGACTGTCCAGGAAGAGGACGCCTCATCTCGATCCTTTCGACGAGTGTCACCGAAGACGACTTCGCAGCAGGCTCTGTGGCAGTCCCGGCCCATATCTGAGGCGCCAATGAACGGTTGTATCTAAAAGGAGGTAGCTTTCCTTGGTGTCTATGCAGGTTCGCGGCTACACTGCCTGGGGATGCGTGATCATGCAGCGCCATCGTGACCATGGCCTGCAGCGTGTATGCGGCATCATTGCCAGCATTGTGGAGGTTGACGGGATCGTATCCCAGACTCAGCAACAGGCGTTGCAGCTTGACGCCGCTCTTCTTGCTGCCGCCCGCCATTCTCTGCGTGTCTATTGTCAATACCGTATCTGCGTCGGTGGTTAGATCGAAGCCCAGTTGCTTCAGAAACGCAGTATCACTACTGGCGCCGTGGCCGACGAACACGATATTGCGGAGTGGGCCAGAGAGTGGCGTCCGCAGATTGCCAGCTTCTCCGAGGCGAGTCGGGTGACGGAAGGTGTTGGAGAGAATGCTCCTGGCATCGACGAGGTTGATCCAGGTGGACACACCAAAGGCGAATCCCTGCTCGCAACCTTTCACGAATTTCCTATTCCTAAGCATCGCGTGCTGTTTAGGGCGATAGTGGGCGTACTGCATCTTCTTGATCCAGCCCTGGCCATCTTTGCCTGCGTCGATGCCGATGGTGTCACGCGTGTCGAGCACCGCGACGCCGACCTCGGTGATCTTGCTGTGGTCGCTCTCGAATGCTTCACAATCGATGCAGACAAAGACGGCGTCCGAGAGTGTAGCTTCAACGCCTGGAGTGAGGCCGAGCATCTGCTGCACGAGCTTGAGATCCTGGTTGGCATGAGTCACATTTGCCTTGGGCCCCATGTCTGCGGCCTCTGGCTGTGCGAGTAGTCGGTCTGCTGGACTGGATATAGGTTTGAGCGTGACGAGGGCCTTCACTGTCGCCAAGTACTCGGTCAGTCTTGAAGAAGTCCGAATCGGTGCAAGATTGGTCTCCGGTGGTGATGATCGCGAGAAGAGGTGCAGGCCACGATGGTGGCGATGCACGAGGTCGGTGGCGCGACACAGGCTACCACGTGCGACTTGATGCCTGCTTCGTGGAGTGAGATGAGCCCTCGCAGATATCAGATACGTCCATCCGCAGCACCGAGCAGAAGTGGACATTGGTGATGTTCATGTCGAGTGGTGACGAACCTTGGAGACGTTGCGGCTCTAACGCGGGGCCAAAACGTCAAGCTTCATATATTGCTGTGATGCTCTCACTTCCATAATCCGAAATTGTCTAGTGGCTAGGATGTAAGCAGCCTCACCACATCTCATTCATCAATCACGATCTAACAATCATGCAGTTATCGCTCTCACCTCCTCACCAGGAAAAGTGCCGATAAGGCCGGGGTTCGATTCCCCGTTTCGGAAAAGAAACGGAAAAATGTCGCCAGGTTCAATCCCTGGTTGGCGAACCAACATTTTGCTTTTGCACTCATCGCCCAGCGTTAGCAGAAGCAACCTGACTTCCGTCTCGCAGGACGCTCCCTGTTGCATCATGATACAATGAGTTCACTGGAGTGCGCGGATACAGAGCTTGTAGCTCATCTTCTGCGTAGGGAAGTTAAGTTGGCTGTCTCAATAATATAATCCATTGCGCTCTACAAGATCTGCATGATCGACCTCATGCTAAGCATTCATATTGAATCTGCAAGTCGAACCATCCCATCGCACTTGTCTGCGAATGCCTCTGGGTCTTGCGCAACAGCACTCCGGGCGAAGTTTGTGATGAGAATATGGCATTCGGAGTCCAAGCAACCATCTGCAATGCGAGGCCGTTGCAAATCCTCATTCACTTTGCATAAGCACAGGACAGCGTATCCGATGTCGTCCATCAAGGCAGTGTCACGGGCCTCCTATGTTCGACCGATTTATTTGACGGTGCACATTGCAGACATCTTTCCATGTTCATGATGAGTTGCCTGGTCGTGTAAATGGCGTAATGCGTCCAATGCCGACTCCCTTCGGCATCAAGTAATCAAGTGGCCTTTCCTCAGTGCGTGCGTCCTTTGCTACTGGGACGTAAGAGTCACTATGCTTGACAGCCTCATCGGTTCGAGCTTCGTGACGCGACCCAATTCTTCGAGTACTCGCTCGCCGTAGATAGAGTGGAAGGCTGTTTGGGATGTGTCGTCAATCTGGTCTTAGCTCTTTCAAAGCGTGATGTCCCCAATCGCAGCGCTGTGCATCTAGATACTCCGTCTCTTCTTCCCGCTTGTTGCTATCCTCTGTTGAGCCTTGCAAATATCCCGAGCTCCATACAGGCCGAATTAGGCCAAACGCAAGGCATTGGGGTGGTGAGGGAAGAGACGAAGCTGCACTTTGGGTACCTGTGTCTACAGTCCCATGGATTAGGAGTCACCTGCCTGCTTTCCATTGCGATCCACCTGATTGGGAGTCAAGACAGTAGCGGTGATCTAGCGTGGCTGCACTGGTGTGCCTCACCCAGGTCTTGCCGTGGTGTGCATTACATCTGGTGAATGGTGCTATGCCGAGCAGCGATTCAGCCCCTGGCCAATGCCGTGGTGACGGTCTCCGAGCCGATGATCTTCCTGTCCGTGCTCTTGACAAGGAGGGTGCTGAACAGATGTCGTGAGACACTGAGCAATTGCAAGGAGCTTGTGAGCATGTAGTTGACGGCTCTTGTGGAGCACGAACATCCGGGCGTCGCCAACGCCACACCTTCCCCTTTCGGAAGTCCATCGCATGTGACGACGCGACGAATTTCCAGGCTCTGGGGCGACAGGTGACCCTCTCCGTCCGAGCATTTGATGACGGGAAGTACAAAGCTATAGGTACATTCGAAGACGAAGAACGACGGGTAAGCATCAAAGCATACAACTTCCCGCGCTCTCGTATATCCTCCTTTGCAGTCAATAATCCTCGTGCTGCCTCTCGCCGGCGTGCTCAATCCCGGCATCATGGGCGACCGCGACTCCCTCACATCGCGGGAGATTCAGTTCATGGAGCTTTCTGATGGCTCGGCCGCCTCGCTCACCGGGCCCCCGCCACCACTCCCACATTACCTAAATGCAGAGGGCCGGGCGATAGCACGATTCGCCGTAGAAGGCAATGTTGTCAGTACGTGAGGCGTAAGCGCAGGGCCCCACGTCTGCAAGACGAAGACCTCGACTGATGTGCTGGGCAGTCACTGGCGGTGCAGGAACCTTGGGCATCTCCGCTGCTCGCGCCCTGCTCGAGCACGGCGCATCCGGCTGCTGCCTGTGGGACCTCGAGGCGACACTTCGCTCTTCACAAGCCGACCTACTCGCGCTGGCGAAGGACTTCCCCAAGTCCCGAGTGTTCGGCGTGTCCGTGGACGTCACAGACTCCGCCGCGGTCGAGGAGGGCATCCAGTCCGTTGTGCAGACCCTCGGGAGCGTCGAGCACCTGTTCTGTTTCGCGGGCATCGTCGGCGTCGTGCCTGCCCTCGACATGACTGACTCTCAGTGGCGCAAGACGCTGGATGTCAATACCACCGGAGCTTTCCTCTGCGCGCAGGCAGCTGCGACGCAGATGACCAAGCAGGGCATGGCCGGCTGCAGCATCACGCTCACAGCTTCCATCTCTGCCCATCGCGTGAACTTCCCGCAGCCACAGGTGGCGTACAACGTCAGCAAGGCGGCCATCGTCTCGTTGAAGTCCAGCCTCGCGGCTGAGTGGGCACGTTACGGCATCCGGGTCAACAGTATCTCGCCGGGCTACATGGACACCATCCTTAACGCCGGAGAAGGCTCGATCAAGACTGCCAGGGACAGCTGGGCGAGCCGGAACCCGATGGGGAGGATGGGCGCGGTGGGCGAGCTGGACGGCATGTGCGTCCTGCTCGCGAGCCGGGCAGGCAGTTACATCAATGGCGCCGATATGGTGATCGACGGTGGTGCGGTGGTCTTCTAGAGGATGTATAAAGATTGGACATCATATACAGGCATATACACTAGAGCTCGAGGAAGCCTTGTAGACCCCATGCTGTATGCATGCCACGACGTGCGTTGACGGTCATCCAGTCCCGAAGCCCTCCAGACCGTATTTGATGGCCAAACTCAGCTTCTGATCCAGGATAGCGACGCTCGGGTAGTGAGGTAGCTGCAGCGTACCAAAGCATGTCGAGGTCGTAGGGAGGTATTCCGTAGTCAACGGCTGTGCACGCTGTATCACAAAGGTCAGATGGCCGGGACCGCCCATCGGCATACGCTCCGCCGCGGTGACCTGCCGAGACAATCGATGTTAGCCTACGATGGCGTAGCATGAATTATCAGGCTGGAACATACGAATTTGAGGAGCTGGCGCTGCTTCGCTTCCGGCCAGCCCTTCAGCATCCGCCAAAAGCCGGCAATGTATTTGGAATCGGGGTCGAAGCCGTCGTAGCGGGTTGCTTTGCGTAGCTCCTCAACGTCCAGATTCGTCGAGCCCTCTACAAGAGCTCTCAAGTTCTGAGGCGTGACCAAGACTGACAACGAATGCCGATCGACTACACGGAGAAAGCCTCGGTGGAACGCGTCGAGCTGTGGCGCGACTGCCCCAGAAGTGAGCCACGATGCATATTCGTGAGCGTACTTCTCCTTGTTGTTGGCAGTGACAACCGGCGTCTTGAGATCCCGGGACTGTACAAAGCGAATCCCGGGCCACTCGAGATCTTCCATGTTCACGTTGATGCTCGAGTCGGCCGCAGATACGGCGTGCGCGACACGCAGCGTCCCATCTCTCTCCAGTAGCGGCTCGGTCGCATAGATCCTGACCCCATTGGCTTCCATCGGGAATAGGTACTCGAAGTCGTCGTCGGCACCTGGCGTATCGATCAAGTAGCCGAGCGACTTTGCTTCTTCCGGCCAGCCGTCCCTCAAATCATCGAGTGCAGAACCGGTACCTCCCAGGAGCTGGTCGTAGAAGTGGAATGGTATGCTGACGGGCAGAGTGATGCCATTGTAGACGGCCAGCGCAAACAGCAATCCCAAAAGCTCGAACATGTATAGCGGCTGCAGGCTACCGGCCCGGAAGTAGCTAATGCCGGTGGAATTCGTGGTGAAGAGTCCCGCATCTTCAGCGAACGCTTTCTTGCACACCAGGTTGAAGAACTCAATCTGCACGCCGCCGAGGTCGTGGCCGACTTCCATCCCTTCTAGTTCACCCAGTCGAACTCGTAGTGGCCGGAGGAGCTCTTCTGAGCGGCGCTGCCAAAGCTGATCAAAGGCGTCGTGGAGCACGTTGTTCCGGCTGACGCTGAGGAGCAGATAGTGTTCTTCTGCGTATGTGATCCGGCTTTCGGGCTGGCTCTTGCAAAGGCAATGGATCAACACAACATAGCGAAAGGATTAAAAATGCGAGCGAGACATACCTCGAGTGTATGAGCAGCGACTCTTCTGCGCAACGCCGTGGCTTTCTCTGCAGTCGCGTGCACCTTCTGCATCTTGAGATGATTGGTGGTACGAAAGTAGAGAGCGCGCTCAGCAGGGGTGTATATGAATCGTGAGGCAAGGAGCTGCAGGCCACTCCTTTCGCTCCCGGCACCGGCACCGCGAGGCTCGACAGGAGCATGTCTAGCACATCTGCAGTCGTTACGTGAGCCGTTGGTATGTATGGCGCACCTCGGCACGAGACTTGGGACCCCTGGAGGGCGGGCTGTCCAGTCCTTTGCAGCTTCGACAAGTCGAACATCGTCGACGGCTACGGGTATCCGGAGATACTTGGCCATATCGGCTCTCCAATCCGGCCGGGCGCGAGACTCGATGCAGTCCTTTAGATGTAGCACCCCCACAGCTGCGCTGATCTTCGGGATCGTCCAATGACCTGCATGTTCAGAATGGTCAGCATTCTGGACAGGACGTCACCAGTTGTTGAAGAGTAACACCATCAAGCCTGGCTGTCGAAGAGATGCGCACCTTTTCAATTCAGGGGTACGCACCATTCCAATCTGTCAGGAATGTCTTGCTCAGCCATAGCAGAGCAAGCGAGGTATCATCACTATCTAAGTGGAGTGATACCGCAAGTAGCGGCAAGAGTCGCTTCGACAGATCATCTCCGGTATTTGGCGATGATCTCAACGAATCAACGCGCGATTCGAGATCTACTCTTCTGGCAGTGGCTTCGCAGAGGCACGACATCAGAGGCTGCGCTCGATCAAGGCCATCGAGCATCTGAACCCGTTGGCTTTCCTGGTCACTAGGCGCGGTCGTGATCTGGAGCGATGAAGGAGCGGGGATTTCAAGGGCCCATGTAAGTGCATTGACGTGCTGACCGATGGTGTCTTGGGGCACGGAATGCAGACAAGCTAGCAGAGCTTCGCTTATGATGCGTGCGGCATTATGGTTGCTGATGAACGTGCCAGGCACATCTCCGTCGAGGCAGACTGGCTGCAGAAGTGGCTGCAGAGC